TTTTTTTTCAAATCATATTTCTAGCCAATATTTTGTATTAGATGCGAACAACAAAAATTGTTAAATGTTGTATATCATCAAACTTAATGTCTTCAAAATCAATTGGGTAATCTCTGCCATAGGTATGATTAGGATTCCTTTTTGTTTTCTCCTTTTTATATTATTTTAGAAGGTGCAAAAATTTTGAAGAAATTTGTGTGATTTGGAAATGTAATTCAGGATGAGTTTTATGAATTTTCAAATTTGGTGTCGAATTTTTAAATTGTTAAATTCTTTTAAATTGAACAATGATGGAAAAGAAGCGGATATACACTGAGAACGGGTAAAATAAATGCTAAAGAAAAGATTAGGCTTGATATTAAATATTAATTTCGGTGATTGATTTGAATGTTTGCTTTGTTTATTTGCTTTGCTATTCATTTTGCTATTTACTTTGCTTTGCATTCATTTAAATTATGCATTTATTATTTGTTGCATTTTTTTTTTTTCAATGAAACAATTAGAAGTTGAAGTTATCGCTGCATTATTAAATTGGATACAATGATTATATCCTTTTTTATGATTATTTGCAGTACATTATCATCGAAATGATAATAGTTGTAGTTTTATATTTCAGTTTGAATATTCATTGATCTCTCAAATCGTACTATTTTCAATCATATATCGGAATAATTTGTACGATAGTTATTTATCACCATCATCATCATTTTTGTTTGGTGATAATGATGATGATGATAATGATACATTATTACTTTTCCCGGTACTTTTAATGCATCCGAATGATACATTATCATTTCTTTCGAAGTACTTTTAATACTTACTGGAATATTTGTTCACTTTTAATTGAGTTGAACATGTAAAATCTTCAACATTTTCATGTTATAGCGAAATATTTTGGTAAAGGTTTTGAATTTTTTTTTTTGTTCAAAACTATTTGGATAGTTTTGTCCTTATCCATATTTAGAAGTTAACAATAATTTTTTGGAAGTAAAAGTTGAAAATAATTTCTCGGAAGGCTCGGAAGTTATTCAAATTATCTCTCTCCTTCATTCAGGTAATGAAGTTTTATATTTTCGGAGTGCGGTTTTTGTTTTTGCTTTTGTTTTACTTCGAACACTAATATGAATAAACCTCATATTTTCATTGTTCAGCAGGTGGCCAAGATTATGACCAGGTGTTAAAATGTAAATTATCAGGACGGAGTATGTATGATTAGGTGACAAGTGAGAAGTTGAAATTTCTTAAAATGTTTCTAACATTAGCAACAATAATTATGAAATTACCAATGGTTACAACAAATTATTTGTTCATTAATAATACTGGTAAAGATTTGCTCATTATTTGACCAATGACAATAGCAAAATAGCAATGCACGATTCGTAATATTACTGATAATTCAAATTTCACTAATAAATGATTGGATTTTGATGAAATACGAGGACAAAAAATTGCTAATTTGCGGAGGAGTGTTAATTAAACTAAGAGAAAATGAGTAATAACGGTAGTCTGACATAAGTTAGGTTAATTGATTAGAAGTATAAGGTGATAATGAGGTGGAACAGAAAGGCAGAGTTTGTTATCAGTGGGGTTATTGTAACACGAAATAATAATTGATAATTTTACTGATAAGGGAAGGGAAAGAAAAGATATGGCGAATGGAAATATGTCCATTCTACAAATGCTTATGAGCAAGTTATATTACTAGTGATGAATTATCAATGAAATTACGAGTCATAGCATTGATTTTGCCATTGTCATTAATTAAACAATTTGTTGTAATTAGTAATCAAATAATCGATAAATCTTTATCAGTATTGTTAATGTGTAAGTGATTTACCATACTTCGTAAATTTTCTCACCATTTAATATGTTTATCCTATTACAAACAAATAAATAATCTATAAATGAAATAATTAATTGCATTAAATATCTAATTTCTTGTAATCATTAAATAAATAATACTAAACCATTGTTAATCAGTCAAACTTTTAGAATGCTTCGTATTAAAGAGCCAATTAATTTTTTCCAAAAAAAAAAAGAATTCAAAGGTTTAATTTTAATTAATGATTGGTTTTAAACTAACAAATTCAATATTTCGAATTACATTCAATTACATGCAATATTTACTTGCTTAAATTCACTGCTACCAAATATAAATGATAGATGAAAATTATTTTTATCTTTGTTAATTGCTTTATTGTAATTAGCACAATTTTAATTCAGGTAAAACGTTTGCTAATTGCTAAATAATTTCGTGCCAGTAATTAGCATTTAAGAAAAAAAAAAAAAACCAAAACGGGAAATCATTTGCAAAAATTTGAAATAATTGTTACAAATGAAGATTTATTATCAGTCGTAAAATTTGCACAAATCATTGTTCATTTTATTCTACGAGTGGCATCTTTTTTTTTTTTTTAATTGAAAAAAGTAAAAATTCCTAATTTTAAATTTTTCTTTTCCTTCTGCAACATTTTCCACATTTAACAAAACACAATTAAATTTATGACAAACATTTTTGCTGCTGCTAATTAATCGAAAAATTCGAAATAAAAAAAGAAAAGAAAAAGAAAAAGGAAAATGAGGAAATGATAATTTTACCTTTTGCCTAATAACAAATTTAAGATCACTGAATATTGTTTAAAAATGAAAAGGAAAAAAAAAGAAAAAAAATCTAAAAACAAAATTAATGGAATTGAAAAAAAAAGTGAAAAAAGAAAGAAAAAGAAAATCTAAAAATAAAATTAATAAAATTGAATTAAAAATATTATTAAATTTAAATTTTAATTGAAACGAATTTAAATTATCTAAGCAATTAGCATGCATGTATAATAGATAGGGGTAAAATGTGAAAATGAAAGGACAAATTTGTAAAAGTATTAATTTAAAATCATTTATTCCCTTTAATTAATTATTTAAACGTTACAATTAATTATATCCATTTTATCATTTTATTTCTTAATAAATATTCTTTTCATCCTTTCCATATTTTCATTATCATTATTTTCATCCATCTCCTCTCCTC